ATATTGCCCTACTTTTTAGAGTATGTTTAAAATTATTAAATTAAATTTTTAATCCATGATGATTAAGAATTTTATACCAGTTGATGTTTAAAAATGACTGATTCAAAAGTTTGCTAAGAACTCTTACAGTATAGCTACCAGCATGGAAATTAAAATGCAGGTTCTTAAGATATCTAGGAAACCCGTCAAGTTTTCCTCAGGTATGTGGATGAGCTTGAACTGCCATGAAGAAAAATACACCAGGGAACACTACATTTTTTTCCTATAAACAAAAATGGCTATTTCCCCATAGAAACAACATTTAGTGAGCTTTATTTTTCTGATTGCATTGTAACAAGGCTAAAAATTACAAACCAAATATGATCTACTAAAATATTTCAGTTTTTTAATCATCTATAGAAGTGGAGACAAGTATGTTCAGCAAATGCTAAAAACCGTTTTTTAAATTTTTGGGGTGACATGAACAAAGGCTGCCTATTGTAAAAAGCACTACACCCAAAGTAGGCCCCGAGTCCGGCTGGGCCTGAAGTGAGTTCTCAATCATAAAGTATATTCCAGAGCTTCAATGAATTGGATGCGTGAAACCTTGTGATTACGTGAATGTTAAACAGCTAAGTAGCTATTAATTTCTTATAACCCATCTATGCCATTGAGTTTATTTTGACTGATAACGACCATATATGATTTCTGAGATGGTAAATCTTTACAGGAGCAGTCTCATCTTTTTTACCATAGAGCAACTAGTGGGTTTGAACCACTGACCTTGTCCAATGCTTATAGAAAAATAAAATTTAGTGCAATTTGTTTTTCTGATTGCATTACAACTAGAATAAAAACCACAAACTAATTCCTTGCTACTATGGAATACTGCTTATAGTTCTTCCAAGGCAAATCTGTTCCTTCTTCTGCCCATCTAAGGAGCCCTGGTAGTCTAGTGAGCAAAGTCAAAAGTTCAAAACCACCAGCCACTCCATGGGAAAAAGATGAGGCTTTTTATTCCTGTAAAGAGTTTTAGTCCCAGAAGCCTACAGGAGTAGTTCTATTCTGTCCTAGAGTCACTAGGAGATGGAATTGACTGGATGGCAGTGAGTTTGGTTTTTCTGGCACTCCACAGCATAGTCATTATTCTTTGTCATCCTCATAATTCAAATGCATTTAGATTACCAAAATACTAAAGTACTGACTGAATTACATTTCTGTAAGGCAATGATAGAAGTTCTAGCGGTGCAATGGTGAAACGACTGTAGTTAATTGAAAGGTTGGTAGTGTTGAACCTATCCAGCGGCTCTGTGAATAAAAGAGCAATCTCCTCTCACCAAAGACTACAACCTAGTGTACCCTACGAGGAATTCTACTCTGTCATGTGGAGTCACTATAAGCTTCAAGTTGACTTAACTACTACCATCCCATCCCGACCCCCACAAAGCCAATTCTATTCTCCACCAGTCTAAATGCATAGTTAAAATGCTGGCATTAGGTCAACTGTACAACTTTTTAAAATAGATATTTAAACCCCTGGATTGCAGAGTGTGTGAATTATATGTCAATAAAGCTGACAATTAACATAAAATCCATTAAGGTCTGTCTTGCACATGGGATAAACTAACTTTCAACTCTGTGACTAAGTCAAAGTAATATTCTTTAATCTATCTAGTAATCTATCTATTCTTTTACTATCTAGTAAAGCTATGCGGGGCTACTTTGATCAATCACTGGTGGTCACCCATCTGGTGCTCACATGGGTGGGAGGGCCTTAGGAAGCTAGCAATGTCTTCAGTGAGAAGAGCCTGATAGACTTGCCCATCTGCTCTAAGCCCTCACTCCGATCCATGAGGTAAGGGGCAACATTTCTATTCCTTGAAGACTTGATCAAATACCATTTCTGTAGTTCAGAAGATTCAAGGTTCATGTTTCTGTACCAAGCAGAAATGTTGACTGTAGAAGATGTATCTAAATCTTATACTAAATAAGTGTTCCCTAGGATGTGAGGTAGGTGCCAAAACCATTTTAACCTCAAGTCAGTTGTCTTGTCTATGTATTTACCTACTTAAACATATGCATATTCCTATTTCTTCTTAATCAAAGAAAAATGGGAAGAAACTGTATTTGAGAGGAAAACTTCATGCTCGAAAGTGCTGGCCTATGTGTTTTTAACCAAGTTACAAGTATTATTTACTTAGGAAACTCAAAGGTATACTTAAATTTTCATGAAATAATTTCATTCCTGAGGCAAGAGACCAAACATTTTTCTCAATCCCAACTTTAAAATATCAACCTTTAAAAAAATACCAACTTTAATATATCACTTTAAAGTTATTTACTTTTCAGATAAAACATTTAACATATACTATTATCAGAAACTAAACACTCAAAATGTTCTGAACTTTAAACTGTAAGCCTTAAAAACTCCTGGGTGGCATCAGTGCACTCTTCCTCTCTGGAGGAAAGAAAAAAATTCTGCTATGGATGATTCATTGTGACCCGATAAGACAAGGTAGAACTGCGCCTTTTGGTTTCTGAGACAAACTCTTTACAGGAGTAGAAAGCCTTGTCTTTCTTTCCTCAGAGCTGGCTGGTGGTTAACAGCCCAACATGAGCCACTAATGATAAAAATCAAGAGACATATGAAAACAATTATTCAAATAAACCATAGAAAAACACATGTGGGTCCATGGATCTTGAGAGCTAATGAAATAGATGGCACCCAGCTATCGCTACCAAATGCTGTGAAAGGGATCACAGTCGGAGATCCTCAATGATGGCAAAGTATGTACAAATATGCTTGATACAACCGATGTACGGATTGTTATAAGAGCTGTAAAAGCCCCCAATAAAATGATCTTTTAATAAAAAATTAAAATAAAAAATACATTAAGTAAATGAATAAGCTAAATACTGTTTTTAAAATTGAAAAAACAAAAATATAAAGGATTAAAAAAAGGAATTGGGGGAAGAGGGGCAGGGGAATAAAAAAGAAATCAGGAGATACTTCAATATGAGTTTTGTTTGTTAGCCTTTATTAGGTCTTTTTGTCTGATTTATGTTTAGTAATGGGTACTCATTTTGGTTGGGGTTGAACAAAAAAGGATTGGTCTAATCAGATTACCTGAATAAATATAAAGTGATACTGTCTCTCCTTCCTTACCCTCAAATTTGTGTTTATATATAATTGTGAAGCTAAACATTACAGGCCTAAGTCAGTTTATGATGTTAATTACAATAATTTTATCTTAAAATGTTACAGCATGGATGCCTGCATTTGAACAAGTGGACAATAGTGGGTAACTGGAAAACCAACTGATATGTAACATGTAACTGAAGGTTCTCGAAGGGTTCTTGATATATGGCTATTTGTGGCCTGTTACTATTTCTGACCCAGACTCTTGAGTTCATTACCTTTGCTCAGAAAGAGTCACCCAAGAGTTTAAATTACACTTCTGCTTGACGTTTTATAGAAGGTACTTATTACACATTCACCGTTTAGATAACCCAGTATATAACTTTTTATATAGCCCAGTATATAACTAAAAGAAAGGCTCCCATAATCTTAATCATTACCCATTGTATTGTCTTATTTAAATAAAAGCCCTGTCAGTAATTCAACTCATCAACGGACAAACTTTGTTCTCACTCTAAGAGATTTTAAATATTTTTATTTTTTGTTTTCGCTAAGAGATTTTTAAAAGAGCAAGTCCTAATACAAAATGTTAAACATTTTTAACTTGTTAAAATGCCACTGACCAGAAATGTCTCAACTGTACCTTAACAAATTAAGAGGGCATACAAAAAAACAACAACAACAAAAGGCAAACCCACTGCTAGTGAGTCTATCCCAATTCATAGTTTGGGTCCGTATAACTCTTAATTATACGGAATAACCTGTAAAATAAAGTTAATTATTTGATTTTGTACTAATACTTTTTGATTGTTACCTTTATGTCATTTGATTTTAAAAAAGCACTAGCACATTTAAACCAACGTAATGTCTTCTTCTGAGAACAAAATTTGTAAAGTCAGTGGATAACAATATTTTAAGTTTAGGGTTTTGTTTTTTTAATGGCACGACATCGCATAGAGATCTTTAAGGATGAAAATAAATTGGCACACCAAGGCAAGGGGCAAAGCAATTTGACCCAAAACAGTATCACAAGGCTTTTCGACTTCAGGGTCCAACGAGATCAAGCAATGATGCTTATGAAGTGGGACCAAAAACCTCCTCCTCCTCCTCCTCATCATCATCAGAGGGAAACAGCGCATTTCTGGACGCCTTTCCAACCCCATCACCCACGGGGCCTCTTCGCAGGCTGATGGCAGCTGCTCCCGGCGGGCTCCCGCGCGCCGGGCTTTTCCCTTCACGGCCAATCGGTGCGTCGGCCAAACGCGGAGTCGCTTCCCAAAGGGGCGAGGGTGCCGCCCGGCAAGGAAAACGACCCGAGCACCTGGCAACTTCCGCGGGCTCCGCCGGGTCGGGCCGCCCAACGCTCCGACTCCGTCGGGCTCGCGACCACACAGGCTTCCCACGTAGAACCCGCGCCCCCGCCCCCGCGATCCCCAACCCAAACCCCTCCGCTGGCACTGGACGGTCCCGGGAGCCTAATTCTCACCGGGCGTCCCAGCGCCGCGGCGGGGACCGCGGCCGCGAAGGCCAGGCTCCGAACGCGGGAGGCCAAGCCGGCGTGCGGCGGGGCACCGTCGAGTGTGGCCCCGCGAGGGGCGCCGACCCGCGCCCGCTCCCTCCCAGAGCCTCCACCCGCCCTTCTCCCC